GTATTGGCGACACCTGGATGGGGCAGCCCAGGTACGTCAAGGCAGAGTCGTTCTACCTCAAGGCGTTGGAAATCTACAAGAGCATCGGGGACGACCTAGGTCACGCGAACGCATTGAAAGCGCTTGGCGACGTCATGAGACAGGAGTCCAAGTACCTCAATGCAGTGGGATTTTACGTCGATGCGCTGGCCATCTACAAGAGCATCGGGGATGACCTAGGTCAAGGGAACGCATTGAAAGCGCTTGGCGAAGTCTGGAGGGTGCGGTACAGGCATATCGAAGCAGAGGCGTCCCACGCCGAGGTGGTAATCTACGAGAGCGTTGGGAAAGACCTAAGTCCAGCAGACAGATTGAAAGCGATTTTCGATGGTTTCAAACAGCTTCACAGCTACTGGGAAGCAGAGGCGTCTTACGATAAAGCGCGGACAGTCAACAAGGGAATCTGGAGAGACCTAGGCCACGGCGACCTGAAACCGGTACGTTCCCCGTAGGAGGTCAGAACACACTTGAAGGACTAACCTCTAGATCTAGCTCAATGTATTACTCTATGGCGAGCGGGACTATGGACTCGAACGCGAGGACAGCTACGCGCGAATTACCAATTTTGGCTCCGCTCGTTGTCTCCCTGGGCACGATCGCAATACGCAGATCGAGGAGATGGCGAGCCAATTGCCGTCGGCACAGCCACCCAGCGCAGTCTTTGACCGCTCCAGCAAGACCATAACCCTGACTGGGAATAAATATGTACTTCGCTGGGCCGCTCCAGAGCCTCTGCGTGAATATCAGCGTGGTCTCCGGAGCGATATCTGGTCACTGGGGTGGATAGCCTACGAGGTGATACCGCTGGTTTCGAGAGTGATCGGCAGTTGACGCTCACGAGTTCGGTTTGAGAATAGTTTGTGTTCGGGTCCCTCCCGTTTGAAGATGCCGCGTCGGAGATGGTTGTTATCCAACGCGTCCCGGAGGGGAAACTGCCATCACTCACGGATAACGCCCGTCTATCGCTGATTTGTTTCCTTCTGCCTAAGTGTTGGGAGGCTCAGCCCACCCAGAGACCGACCGTTGATTCTTGCCGAAGGTCCATCGAAAAGATGGTGAGAGAACACGGTTGTGCAGGATTGAAGCAGAATTGACGTTTCGTTGAATAGCCAATGTTTGCTGCGGAAATGGAAGAGGGCGAGAGAGTCCTCAGCCTCAACGGTCTGCATGAGTTGCGACAGATGTACGACTCTAAGGGTGAACATGCGAGAGTTTTTACTTTCTTTGCTGGCGCCTTTGACCCCATGACGGGACCGCTCAGCTTCACGGACCAAGTACAAGCTCTGCGTGATCTCGCTCAACGAGCGCAGCTTAGAGAGGAGTACAGCGAGACAATCGCAGACTATGATGTGATCTGGAAGCTCTATGAGTGGAATGATAAACAAGACACGGACGGCCTGGCCCCACCTCTAGTAGACCCAGGATGACAAATCTCCTGGGCACCCCCAATCTTTCGATTTCAAATCTCACTAAGGTACGTCCAGACGACATTATCTTATTTCCTCCACAAAGGCGAGAAACAATTTACCCATTGGTATTCATCTATAAATGTATTATCTTATTTTTTATTATTCCAGTAAAACCAGCCTGATTACACCTATAGTCAGGTAAATGCATGATATGTTAATATCCCATCTGGTCATAAGATGAGAAAACTGAGTGCCAAATTCACAAGAGAGTGAACTGTCCTCAGATAGAATTAACTTCACGCTTGCTGCAATAATCGGTAACGCCGCCTCTGCGGTAATCCCATAGCCTGAAGACGGCTCAATTTTCTTGTTTAGAAGCTCTTTTTTATACCTGACTATAATTTCTTGAGTTGTGCATGGTCTAAGAGCTATGAGAACGGACGAACGGATCCCGCGCCGGAGCCGCCAGATGAGAGCGAGCACGAAAGACAGAGAAGAAAGTGGGGTAAAGAAAAGGAAACGCGGAGGGTAAATTATAAAAGAGAAAGCGAGAGAGAGAGAGAACGAACAAGAATCATAGTTAACTGTAAATCACACAAAGCGGTGAAAAAGGGAAGGAGGGAGAAGAGGCCAAAGCGAGAAGTCGCAGGGAGGCGACCGCTCGAGCGAATAGGGGCAGGGCGTGGGAAATAGAGTTGGGCTAACGAGGACACCGACCAGAAACAGGACGAAAAGTCGAGGACACAGAAGAGAATAGGGAGTTAGGGATACGAGAAGAAGAACAGAAGTTATCAGTAATAGAGAGGAGTTTTAAACTGGGACAAAGCGTAGGGTGGGAAAAATGCGTGGGAATCGGTGCAACAATACTTGGGAGTACCCTAGCCTGTCTGTTGAATATAGAACATAGAGACTATGGGAGTAATCAGAATAAGACCATACTCAGGCCCTGTTATGAGTAACTATTTTTTATAATCACTTTAGCGATATCTCATCTGTCCTCGATATTTTAAATCCTGTAAAATGAGAAGACGATCCCACCCGGCACAACTAAATGAGAAAGCTGAAATGAGAAAGCGGCTAGTGTCGGCCGGTGCGCGGGGGATCTGTGGAGAAATAGGGTCTGACCCAGAGTAACTGCTCTTCTAATCGTGTCGGTTTAGCTAACCAAGCAGCTATAGCAATAATTCGTAGATAAACTATACTAGTTCCTCACCTTGCCATCAAAGCCTTGACAAAGTACGAAGGACAGGAGGCCGCTGCTCGGATTCTATCTACGAAACAAGCAATACCCGAAGAAGAAATCCTATGGCCAAATGTCCTAAAGTATTTGCTGGGAGCTAAACTCCCAGTATGGGTTTTTAGTGGACTGTAGGGATACTCGGAGAATTCAGGAATTTACGGATGAAATAACTTTTCTGCACATCAAAGGTCAGCAGCTTGGCATTCGGCCATGGCTCAGATAGCGAAGCGCCATTCTTAGTAAGCAACTACATGACCTATTAGAATGTTGAACTATCGCAACATATAATAAAGAGGCTCGGGATTTTTTCGATGTGGAATGCCAAACTGGCGGAGCGTTGCACCAGCCCTCAATCCGAGTGGGAACTGCTCTAGCAATACAGAGGACCGGGTTGCATTCATTGGGGCATAAAATTATTCGCACACATAAATGTAGTAGCACCTTTCGTTTAGCACTGACACGAACTGGGCGTTTCTAGCTACAAGGATAAAGCCTGTGACAATGCTGCCGTCTCGATGCCTCCGCTAACGGCTTTCCTCAGTTACCAAACCCACGCCCGTGCAAAGCTTGCGGGACCCTACATCAACGCCTCTCAAGTCATCAGCGCTACCGGAAAGGAATTCATCAGTAAGTCGTTGACCTTTCTCTCATGTTTAGTAGGGCGACGATCCTAACCTTTCTCTGCTAGTGCTCGAGGCCAATACCGCCTCCTGCGGTGGTTTCTCCGGGTGCTTCGGACCCCTGCGCCACATCTGGCTTCGGAGACTATGCCGCTTTCTATTTGACAAGCGCTAAAAATGTGGACGCCAAGAAAGCAGGGTTACAATAGAATGTGTGTGCTGTAGACAAGTAGTAAATGCGGAATTCCTCAATGGGAACGATCCAATCTCTGGTGCAGTTGGGGTCGCCACTGGGCGGACAATCAAACATTTCCTGCTGGTTTGGCTAATCGAGACAGAGGCTTATGCGACTCAAATAATCATTTGACGAAATAAAGTAGATTATCATATGTCATCTTGTTTAGGGGGAGTAACCAATGACCGTACCCGGCTTTCCCAGTTGACGAGGTTGGGGTGTCGTTCCACTTCTCTCCTAACGGCTGGAGGACTTTGAAGAGCGGTGTAAAGATAAGCAAAAAGCAGTGCATCCAGAGCAGTTGGAGCGCTAGACCGACATCAAGCAAGGTGTGTGAGGAGCATTGTTAAGCACTGCAAATTATTCCGTGCGCACCTCGACCCCAGCAGCCACTCATCCGTACCCAGTCGATCAGAGAGCGACTGGATTGCCTTTCTGTATCGCAAGTGGACCGGATAGCTTGGAATTTGGACACCAGACGGCGGGAACGGTGTGGAAATACCCGACAACGGGGCTGGCGGTGGATGAACAACGGTCTCTAGAGCCCGTCGCGGACCTTCCGAGAGCACGGACGCCAAGGTATGTTCTTTAGGATTTGCTATTTCCTGCGGGTGGATGCATTCATTAGCCGGTGAAGCGGTGAGAACGAGGTAAGGCTCATACCAATTCGGAATGGACAGCACCCTCTAACAAAGAAACCCACGCCCGACTTTCATCCCTGGCCTCCGCATCCTTATACCCTTCCAAAGCGTCGATTGAACTGTTCTGGATGGTATCTGCCCACATGGGGATTCGTAGTGTGCTGAGAAGCTTGCCGTTGGGCAGCTGTAAAGTGGGGAGATGTCCACCAACACCAGCTTCTTCGGCCACATCCCAGCGCACATCGAAATCCGTTATTCCCCTCAAAGAGAGGTAGGCTTGCCATTTCAGACATTCGACGTCGCGACTGAAATAATCTTGTCCGTCCAGCTCAAGTTTTCGTGGAGGTTGGATCCATAACGTTGGTTTGGTAATTTGTTTCGAGTAGGGATTTTCCGGCGCTGGATACGTATGGAGCGGGAAGAGAGAAAAGAACTTGCGTATTGGTTCGGGAATTGCAAATACGGAATTGGTGCTGCTCATGGTCGTTTTCGTTTTCAAGGTCCTGCGGTCAGGACGTGGGAATGTAGATGTTCTGATCCTTACTCTCCGAATTCCAACACTCCCGAGGTCTAACGAGCGCCCTACGGTTTTATCTCATGAGATAACATGGAAAATCGAAAGCGATAAGATACTATGTACTACAGGCACCAATACAAATTAGGCATCGATGTCTCGTCCTGCGTGCAGGGAGATCTGAGCCTGGACTGCCCTAATCAAGGCGGCTGGGAATTACGGGCCATCCAAAAACCGGGAACTGAGCAAAACACAGTGCTCTAGTGGTCAAAAATAGCGGAATTTGATGCCAAAAAATCGTATGACCGACGCAGGGGTTGAACCTGCAACCTCCCGCTTGATATTCCCACGCCACAAGCTTTCCCACGCAAGCGGCTAGGTCGTAGGCGGACGCGCTGCCATTGCGCCAGACGGCCGTTGTGATTACCCGAGAGGTTAAAACAATTAAAGATGCAAAAGCTAAGCCAACTCCATAACTCGATAACGCTTCTCACATTCTCTTTTCTCAACCCGAGGCCGTACGAACCATGACCTCGAACCAATCCAGCATCGAAATTACCTACTCCTTCGATCTTCCTTCCGGCATCAGCTCTCCCGCGTCGTCAACGTCTCAATCGTCGACGCATACATACTCCTTCGACATGCAGAAAGCGGCCAGAAACAGTAGCGCATACTATGACTCCTTCCTCGACGCATTAAGAAAGGCGAGGGAAGTCACTGGCAAAGACCTGACTGCCTGGAGAGATGCGGTCGGGGATGCAGAGAAGAATAAGGAAGCGGCGTTGAAAAAACCACCGTCTGATGAAGATGACGACGAAGAGGATGAGGGGGCAGCGTGATTCGTGACTGAAGGCGATGCATTTGGACGCTATCTGGTATGTTCCACTCGTCCCAAGCACTCGGTCAAGTATTGATACAGTAAAAAGAACTATTGCCGGAGTACTATTCACTATTACACCTTCTCCAAAATGACGGCGATACCCTGGCCACCGCCTGCAGGAAAGGGGTCGATCTATTAGACCATGTCGATGCAATCCTCATCATGAGCGTAGAAAACCTACCAATACATGCGGTTCCAAGAGCGTATTTGAGGTCGAGACGGTGCAAGTTGTGCGTGAGGTTGGCGACGATCCGGGCACCGGATGCGGCCAGAGGGTGAGCGAGAGCGATGGCTCCACCTAACGAAGTCCGAGTTGAGAACGAGGGTCACATCAGGGAGAAACCCGAACTCCTACCAAACATGTTCGCCTTTTCGCTTGAGAATCCAAGCTCCTTCTGCACGGCCAACCACTGGGCAGCAAAGGCCTAGCATCCGCCGGACGGATCAGCGCCCTTCTTTGTCATAACATGAAAATCATATCGCGTACCTCGTTGAGTTCGATGATGTCAATTTCATCCAACTTCAAGCTGGCTCGCTTCAAAGCCTGCCGTACGGCCTCCACGGGGCCAATACCCATAATCGTCGGGTCGACCGCGCTGATACCCCAGCTAACGACCCTCGCCAATGGCTTCACACCGTACCGCTTCAACGCTTCTTCGCTCATAATGACGTTCGCAGCAGCACCGTCTCC